AGCAGGGAGAGACTAGCCTGAGCAGCAGCCAATCAGTCACAGGATCCCAGGCCTTAGTTTTGAAGCCTCTTAGGCCACTTTGCTTGAACAGTCACCCAACCAGCAGTCTGGCCTCTCATGAGGTCATTTCGTGAGGGCCAGTCCGCCGGGTTAGCGTCTGTTGACACCCGATCGATGAAAATTCTACAATGTAAATCTAGAGCAAGATCCCAAAAGAGCGAGATTAACTCGCAGACGTCAGACTTACTCGAATACCCTTTCACCAGAGCTGCCTCCACGACTTCCGAATCTATGAGAAGTATCGCGTCCGCGTTTATCAAGCGATCGCGAAAAGAGCACAAAGCCAAAATTGGGGCTAACATCTCAATCGGAATGATTTGAGTCGCCCGGTGGAGCCACTTCGAGCTGACACTTGTAGGGATCGCTTCAGAGAACTGCAGAGGGTGATCTAGGCGCCTATCAAACAAAACTGCCCCCACTCGATCGAGCTCTGTTTGTTGTGCTCTGATCCGGGGGTCAGGTGTGAATCCGTCAGTGAACACCACTACATCCGCCTTCTTTGAGACCTGCATGTCAATGGTCCTTGGCGGACCTTCCTTGATCAAGTGTAACCATTGTTTGAGAGCAACCCTTAAAGGCTCATCGAGCGAAAAGGACGGACCGGAGGGGAACCTGGAGTATTGTCGTTCCGAAATCACCCTTAAAAAGGCCCGTCCCACTTTGCCCCAGAGCTGTGATGCTCCAAACATGAGTTTACCTTTCAACTTACCGGCTGTGCCCGGGTCTAGCTGATCACTTTCCAGGATCGAGCCGATCTCTTCCGTCAGGTCTCTCTTGCGATCGTCTTTGATCTCGAGCTGCATGCGCTCCAGATTGTAAGTCACACCAAGGATGGTGGGAGCCACCGACAGCTGGAGCTTTTTCTGGTCAAACTTCGCCCCGAGCCAGTGATGGATGCATTCAGCCGTGAGTCGAGCGCTCTTGACAGTTTCGACCGGTTCAAACCCGTATTTATCATCATAGAAACTAAAAAGGCCACCAGATTGAACAATTTACACAAAATTTCGTTAATGGCGGCAGACCTCCTGTTATAGTTGTAAACCGCCGAAACGAGTCCAAACGAGCGGCCTATCATGATGAAAAACGCGGGTCTCCCTGAACAAGGGTCCTTTAGACAAATCACAGAAAACTTTCTCTGATCAGGCCGGACAGCGATCTGCCTGTAGGCTTTTCTCTCGTCCAGCACCCAGCCAGCCACGTCGCCGAGAGGCTTTGCAGATCTGATCATCCGAATTGCCGCGACATTGGAGTCCGTCGATGGCAGTTGAAGTTTCTCCGAGATCACTGTGATTTGATTGATCATGTTGGTTGTGGCGCTGTCGCACCCTCTTACTTTGTTCTTTTGGACGACTTCAAAACGTTGAGTTGGGATCCAATCCTCACAGTTCAGCTTGGTGGAGATCTCCTCCTCGGAAAACCAAGGGCCCATGCAGGAGCCTTCTGCACAATCTTCGAGCGTCGCATCCCAGATCTTCTGCAGATTCTCCGAAACAGGGACCATGGCTACTCTTTGAACAATCTTCTTTCGCAACTCCCAGGCCCTGTCCAAGGCATGTTGAACGGGTATGGCAGCTTGAGGCTTCGTATAGTCTGGCCATCGCTGAGAACGAGCGATCGGCCCGACAATGGAGAAACCGTGCAGCAGATCAGCATGCAGTTGTTGGTCAACTGATCCGCATGCATTGAGCAATGCCTCATACAAGGCCACGTGGCATACTTGACCCAGGAGTGCAGGCGGATCGTCTGGAGCACCTCGTAAGAGCCGACGAAGATCCGGATCCGGTTGTTGAGCGATGCGCTCGAGAGAGATGGGGAGCAATCGATGAGCCTCAGCTTCCCAAAAACTCAAAGCTTGTACCCGTCGAGCTTGAACTGTCTCCGGATAATGCGCTAAAGCTTGGATGGAGGCGATGACAACCTCATCGAGCTGGGCGGGCACCGTGAAGGGATGAACAACCTGCAGAGCCCACTGTATTGCCTGACCAATCTCCATCTCGAACTCAAGCAGCGGTTTGAGGGCACCTCGTTTGAGTTGGTACCCCGCCTGTAGAGCCCGAGCGGCAGTTTGTTCTTGCCGATGACCACTCCACAGTGCCGCGGTGCCCAGAGGTCTTTTACGATCGAGGGCAGTAAGCTCAAAAGAGGCGGCAAACTTGCTGAGTGACGCTGACCAAATCATCTGCACAGCCAATGCCATGGAGGCGCAAAGGTCGAACGGGTACTCTTGAGCAAGCTTGGTGCGAAACACCACCTTGTTGCGCTTGGGATCCCACACTTTGCCTTGCAAACGCTCGTGTATGTGAGATCCATCACAAGAGCATCCAACGATCGCAAGTGCCTCATGAGAAACACGCAGGCGTGTGGGCTTCATTGAAGGAGCTCCGAACATGCATTGATCAAAGTCCACATCCAAGGTGCGAGCACGCAGGCTCAGCGAGCGCATGACTGGGGTCACCCAAAGAAGGCTGAGCAGGGGGTTCTCGATCGAAAAGTCTCCTCCTGCCTGAAAGACAGCCAAGGCAAGCTCAGCCGTGCGGAGCAGAAAAAGGTTGCCCAACAGTGCAAGAGCTTGGTTGTCGGGTGAAAGACCATCCAGACCCATGGGCTTGTCTTGCGAGCGCAGGGGCCGAGGCCCCCCATCGAACTTGCGAGCTGCAGTGAAGGTGTTGCACGGAGTGCCAAAGTGAACGAAAAGCAGTGCACCGATCAATGCAAGACACATGATGCGGTCCCAGAATGCCACGTCCAGCACGTCCTGAGGTAGTGGAACTTGTGGTGAACACTCAATGTCGACAGGTGGCAAGGTAGGCATTTGAAGAAGACGAACTTGCTCGGCGAGGCGAGCGCTGCCCGAGAAGATCTCCAGAAACCAAGGACCGTGTTGACGAACGAGCTGTGGGTCATCAGGCACATCTTTCCAGCTGTGCCAACATGGATAAGAGATCTCCTCACCACTCAAAGGGTCAGACAGTGGCTGTGCCAGACCCTCGTCACTAAGGTGAGAGTCCTTCCCCGACCATTGGCCCGGAGGCGGGGTCAAGCCCTCCGGACCGGGCCCAGCGAGCGCTCAGTGGTTGCCATGGTAGGGGTGGCCTTGGCCACACTCTACGCAGGCGTGCTTGTGCTTGCATTGATCACCAAAGCGACATCCACTTGAGCAGTTGTAGAATGGGCACCTCTTCGGGCCTGAGTACTTGAACGAGTTCACCTTAGTCCATTCTGCCGCCGGGATGCGAGCGTCCCGGGTGGGCTTGCCCTTGGGGCTGTCCGCTTTCTTCTCATGAGCGGTCTTGAGTGACTTGAGTTGCTGCTTGGCTCGTTCCCTGCGAGCTCTGTTCTTCCGAGCT